ATGGATTTCAGCGGCTGCCAGAATCCAACATGTTTTCATAACAACTTGATGTGGCGTTAATAATAATTGAGGCTGCTATTTCATTCAAATGAATATGAAAAATACTACAGTAAAAAAAGAGATTGGTTAAAATATCCTCAAAATAACTCATTCCAAACACTATTTGAACGAAATAATGATCACTAACGCTAGCTACACTATATAAAGTTGGCATAGCAACGTGTTGAATACCAGCAATTTAACATGCCGGATACTGGCATAGATTTTAGCTATCAAGGAAAAACAACAAGGAGTCAAAGTGGTTAGGTAAGGCCAAATTCAGTTTGGAGTGTACTAAGCACGGTCTTCATGAAATAGATATGATCACGGAACTTATCAACAAACTAACACTGTATATGTATAGTGTTTGTTTAATTTAACCGCCTAAGGTGTAAGCACAAATAATTTTCACTCTTTGATCATCAATGAATACTGTTGAAAGGTGCTAATCTAGGTCAAAACACGAATTGAGTTCTCATGGTTTTCCAAAGTTCCTCTAACTCATGTGATTAAAACTATCTTGAAATCTTCCAAGTTGGTGTTCATCATGGAATGAAATCAATCGGAGGAACATTGAAAACCTGGTAGTACTGAACAGCTGTTTCGTCCCAGTATAGGACTCTTCAGCAGCTCGCACCCACGACCTTCAGGTTCCATGGCCACCACGTTACTATTGAACCACCTGGTTGGAACCTAATGATCAATATTTCCAATTTCTGTCAGTTCATGACATAGCATGACCCTTAACAGATGCCTATCAAACCATATTTGATCTTCTCTGATCTTCTCAGTGGCATTTTTGTATTGATAAACTTAGATCAGATTTTTATTTGACTAAACTGAAAACTATTTCAATGATTTTTCCACTTTTAAAAACAAAATTACAAGGAATGCTATGCGGCTTAAATCCTATCCAGTATCGGCTTAGAAGTGAGTTCAGTGATAAACAATTATCCAAGTTATTATTCATCGTAGACTGACATCAGTTGGAAGAACAAACTAAACCTGGGAGCACTGGACAACAGTGCTCCCAATTGATGTCAGTCTACGATGAATAACAACTTGAAATATTTCAAATCCCTACAACTCCCACAAAAAAAAAACAATTATCCGTTGATCTATGAATGTAAAAAGCAAGGAGAGTATCACACAGAAGCACCAAACTATTAGTCAACAGGTTTAACAGTCTAAATTTAACCGTATTATAGATTTAATCATAATTCTAGTCAACATCAATAGATGTGTAGAAAAGCACAATTACTGTTTCAACCTTCGTACATCAATCGATAAAATGTGACTTAATTAACATATTATTATGATGATGATCATTATCATTTTTTTTGTTACTTAGTTATTATTGATTAGATAAGAGTTCAGCGTATATGACTGCATGTGTGTATGTGTGTGTCTGTGTTAACTAACACATGTGGGTTTGAGTGTGTCCACCCCAAACCCTACACGTTTCCAGCAATTTTGATTCGACATATCTATTGTGCAATTAAATTATATGTATAATCTCAGTGTCATTGGTTTTTCAAATAAATGGTGAACATTTATAGCTTAAGATGAAGATGATGATGCCTTATAGTTATATGAGCTGTAATATTTTGTCGTAGGTGTTTCATCAATCAAGCATGATGACATCTTCAGTCCTAATTAGGCTGAGAGAACACCGAACCACTAGACACTGGTTTCTCATTTGTTAACCTTGGCTTATCAGCTGACATTTTATGTGTGGGCATAATGATTCATGTAGATTAAAAGTGAATTCATTAAACAGATTCTGAAAACAGCTTATCCACAATAGGCTCAACTGACTAAGCTAAGAGGTCCAGTGTTGAATAAGGTCACTACTACCCACACTGCAATCATTTCTCTGAGTACATAAGTCAATCAACAGAAAGAGTTTGTTGGTAGTTTGCGTGGTGAAACACAAATAACAAAGTGTTCCTTGTTCATATGTCAACTTGACATGATTATCACAAATTGAAATGAAACATGGACCTGATTAGCAGTTATGTGTCATAGTCTAGTTGTTAGGGCACCTGACAAATAATCAATAGGCCGTTAGTTCTCCCCCTTACCACAAATAAGGTTTTCTATTAACTTCAGGGATTATCGTTTATACTGAATATGAAAACCACTGTGCCAACTGAAGTTATCTATAAATGTCTTATTGAAGATCATTTAATACTCTTTTCCGTCTAACTTGGATAGATCTTGATTGAAATGAAAATACGGGGGTTGAGAATCCAGTAAGATATACAATAAAAAATTACTGGTTTCCCATTAAAAGTAAAGAAAGACAGGATTCCAAAGCTATTAGTAAATGTGTGAACTATCGGCTTCAACATTTACACGTGTACATGTACATGTACATGTACATATGTTGATAGGGTTGAGTAGCACTTGACTTGATAATTGAACTGGAATAAACCAACAGTTAACAACCCAATCTCACTGCTTACTCCTATTGACTAACCTGACTCAAATACATCATCATCCATCAACATAGGACCACACCTCATATCAGCACATCAATTAAAAAGGCAATGAAGTGCAAGATGAAGAAAAGAAACTTCAGTCAAAAGAAATATAAAGTATGAAAAGAAAGAAAGGGAGAATGAGAAAATGGTGAGAATGGGCATAATGCTAAGATGAGGATAATGTATGTATACATCTGCGCCACCGACATCGGTTCTGACCCATATCACCTAAAGTCAGCCTCCAACCACTGATTCCTCTTGTCACGCAGACCCCAACCACCTAGTCTGCATCGCCCTACATGGCTGAAACTAACAGTCAAACACTTCATACATTGATGCCATGTTTTAGTCTGGCCAAAAGATATCCCTCAAACTTATTCACTCTAAACACGAATGGACGAAATAATGATCAAGTGATCCACAATAGAAAGCTCAGTGACGCCTTTGAAGTGAAGAAAGGAGTAAGAGAAGGCTGTCTACTATCATCCATGATCTTCCAGATTGTGGTCAACTGGATCACGCAGCAAATCGTGAGCAGCGAGAAGATGATATACACTGTTCGACCGATGAAAAGACTCTGAAAGATTTGGACTTCGCCGACGATGATTTATGTCTAATATCTATCTTGTAGCTCAAACTCGAACATCTACAGACAAAAACCAACAAAATGACAGAAGAGGCAGCGAAGGAGAATGGGTCTACAAGCGAACTTAGAGAAGTCAGAGGTGATGAAAATACCCAACCAACAACAGCATCAACAACAAGCAACAATCACCATCAACGGGAGAAAACCTAAAGGAAGCAGTCTCTTCCAACTACCTACATAGGTAGCATCGTTTCAACTGCAGGCGGCACAGACGAGGATATCAGAGCCAGGATCGGAAAGACAGCAAGACAGGCTCCCCTTCATTTATTAACCTGAAATCAATGTGCACATCTACTGCACTCCACTCAGCATAAAGCGTGCACAGATCTGGATTTTCAACACCAACTCCAGTCAAGTCAGTGCTTCTATATGATTCAGAGACTTGGCGCGTTATGAAAAGCACTTCCAACAAACTATGGACATTCATAAACAACTGCCGCCTACAATCACTCGATACTGATGATCAGATGGCCAGAATAATAAGAATAAGCAAGAAGGAAGTGTGGCTGGCTGGATGGATGGATGGATGGATGGATGGCTGGCAATGAACCAACCAAGAACCTATCACTCAACAAATATGCAGAGGGAAGTGGAGATGGATTGGATTGTGGATACGCTGAGAAGGCCGATAGGGTTCATCGCTCTCCAGGCCAGGCCGTTTAGTGGAATCCAAAGGGGAAATGACGAGTTGGGTGTCCAAGACGAGAGTGACATAGAGGAGATCATGTGAGAAATAAATGAAGGCTTCTGGAGAGTCACAGAACGAGTTTGAAAAGACTGCAAAGAACAGGGTGAAGTGGTGACATGCTACTGAAGCCGTATATTCCACTAGGAACCCAAAGGACAAACAGTAATAAGACTATGACTAGAAGGCGAAGATAATACAGCAGAGAATTCAAAGAGGTATTCGTGTTATCGAGTTTAAGCACAATGGACAACTAATCATTATCCAAACAACTTTTCTAAATAAACAAAATAACTGTGACGACTTGCTATTACTTGACTCTTATTTCTAGTAACATTATGTCTGAGTGTAAAAAGGCAAGCAGCAGGACACGAGAGTCAAAAATTCAAATTCACATAAGGTTTTGGGTGTACACTGCTGAGCAGTCCGAAACTAGGGTGAAATGACTGTTCAACGATTTCCTCATTGATTTTGACGCTCAAAGAAAACCCCTTTACAACTTTCCACCTAATCAAGATTGATTTTCTACACGACAAGTATTCACTTATCTTCTGTGTCCAAACCTTTAAGATATATTGAAGTTTACCTTATTTATTGTTGAAACAAACCATGAGAAGTAACTGAAAGTAGAAATTATTTGATACCAACGACGTAATAACTTCTATATAAAAAAAAGTCAGATCCTACGTTGTAGAGCATTAATATGTGGCCTTGAATATTCGAAGTGCCTAACAAATGATCGGCATATCATAGGAATACCAGATAGCATATACTGATGAAGATTTCCGTCTGTAAGGGGATAAAATTGTCATCTTGAATGCTGCTGAAATCACATCATAGAGGATATTAAAAAGGGTGAAAGTAACTAATCGATAGGGCAAAGTTAAGGCAATTAGAAAATGCATTCAGTAGGCGCCTATTCTTTACTGTAGCTCGATTTGGATCAGGATTTAGGGGACCTGGTTAGGTAGCTAGTGAGTCGATTCAATTAAATTTTTGGTGAATGAAAACAAGTCAAGACTTATTCAGTGACTTAGGTTCGTAGTTCAGTTGATCGAACATCCAATAAGGTAATTAATTGTACGAGTTCAAATCTTACTATATTCCAAACTTTAATCAAAGTTACAAGGTGAAAGAAACTTACACTTTTTTCATCTTCATCAGTGACTAAAAGTTTTAATTTATTCTTTTTCATTTCTAATTTCAATATTTTTGGCCTGAAATAGCAAAAAGCACAAAGGATTAGTAAATCTTCAACAATTAAATGATTCAGCAATACAATGTGTTGAACTTTATGTTTGGCATGCTCTAACTTAAACGTTTATTACATCTTAAGTGTCATCTTCAGCAAAAATCAGCTCAAACAGATGTAATATATTCATAGAAAAGTAACAAACTCAATGTACCTAAGTTGGACTGTGTTTCCAGTGTGCATTCAGCAAGGTCGAGACAGTGTATTTCACAAACTATATGAAATTGAGCTTTGGTTTCCAAACAATAGATCTTCTTGTTATAAATATAGAATATTTTGGAAGTTATTACTGAAATTATAAAGTACTTTTTAATCAATATACCTGCAAATGTGGATAAAACCACTGAAATTTACACTGTCTTAAGTGTGTACGAAGTTTTGTTGAAAAAATCGTAGTACAACATACGTTTGAGTTCTGGTGAGGGTATAACTAAGAGATTTTCAGCTGTATATCAAAATCCAGATTAGCGTCTACAATCTGGATCACTTTTGGCATTGCCACAATCTTAACCCACCTGTAAAACGTTGCGTATGCAAGGAGTCAATGTGGGCACTTATACTGAACACTTCTGAAAACTGGCCTCTTGGAGTTGAAGATACCCCAAAACTCTGCGTATCCGATCACCGTTATCGTCATAGGAATGTTAGCATTCGGTTCAAGTTATTCTGACGTGAGATGGCAAGTGTTTTGTCGTGATAGAAATCATCATTTATTGAGTGAAGTTATCTTGAAATACCAGCCTCAGTAGCCTGGACCTGTGTCATGAATGTCATCCAAATAGCTTCCATACCATTCACTTTTCACTAACCGTAGGAATGGTAGACAGAAATGGAAAAGTGACCAGTGTATGATACGATGTCGTCGGACGAAGAATAATTGCTTTGGGTTAGTATCTAATCCCGCCTCACGACTCACTGGATGCATTCCGAAAGCGATAAAATATCTTGGTGTTCTCCAAGTTTCAGGTTTGTTTTTGGACTTTTCATCACCAGGCTAGGAGGCTTCATCAGCATTTTATAAAATATAGTAGCAGAAAAGATTGAGATATGAGGACGGTTGCAATCATACAACAGCCATCTGATTTCATCGATCACTGATAAGATCAAAGTAATGAATGTCTTTTTTCAATGTATATTCCAGACTGACTCTCATATAACTCTGTTCCTAACTTTTTTTTCCCATTCTTTTCTTCTTTCCTTCCTTTTATATCACATTATATCTGCTGAATACTGTTATATTAATTAGTATAGCTACCTCTCTTGGTGATTTAAACATATTTAGTTAGGATAAGAAAGTGCTTTATATGCTTTGATCATAACGACACCAATTGGGTGCTATACAACAGTACAAAAGCTATTTCATGCTGACCAGTCAATGCAGAATTACAGGTTTCATACCAAGGGAATGGAAGTGATTTTAGGATGGAGAAAACCCTAAGTTTCTAAAAATTTAAAATTTGGAATATCTAGCAACGTAGGTATGATCTATTATCAACCAGGGCTGGTGATCAGAATGAGGCAAAATCACAACTCACTTGCTTAACTAACAGTAAGTGTTTACTAAGCGAAGACATGTTTTTCTCATCAAACAACTGTATAACTGGTTACGAATTTCCACTCACTGAAATCTTGGATTTAGTGCATTAAAATAGATGCTGTTGTCATACTTCGTGAACTAATCAAAACATGTCTAAATCTGGCTGGTGAGTAGCAAGTTACATTTTGACTGCATTGATCATGTCCTTTCTTTTAGCTGTGTACTGGATATAAATGCACCCTGAAATTTTCCGCTAGAAGGTATCACATTAAAATTTGTTGATACCTTCAAAGCTATTTATGCAACCAACAAAAGGCAGAATGAAATCAGTCAGTATTAGCAGGGGACCTGGCATGGTGGATAAAGGCCAAAATCGATGGACCTCACACCAAAAACATTAGGGTATGAAATAAGAAGGTGAAAGATAGAGAATTAAGCAAGGAAGTAGTCCAATTGATAGGAAGTCGTAAGAAGATTGGGGAAGGGATAAAAAAAATATATAAGAATACAATGTACATGCCTTCCGGTAAGTGATGCTGTTCACACTGTGACATTTCGGTGCAATCGAAGATGGAGATTCCCAATCAATCGAACTTGTTTCCCACAATAAATGACACTTAGTATGGTTTTTTCAATATCCTTGTTTTAATGTGGACATTTTAACTTCCATTCCCTAAACAATTAATACCGTCCTGGTAAAGCTAAGCAAAACATAAAATTACACCAAGTTCCGTTGTCAAAGCCTATAACACAATTGGAACAATCTTAAATCAAAGCAATCCAACTTATAATTCATGCTAAATTCATTTAACTCTTCAATGTTATGACAGATGTTAGTAGTCAGCCGGCAAAAAACACTTTTTTCATCCCGTAACAATGGGTATCTACTTTCCTAACGAAAACTTACACTCCCTCAGATATTGGAACTTGCGATACTCCACGCTGAAACAAAGTTATTTAGATCATGACTGACTACCTTTCATCTTATCTACAACCTATAGGTCTACTTCCTCCAGTGAGCGATATGTTGCCACTGAGACTAAAACCCAGCACCCATAACCGCGTACGCTGGTATGTTATCATCTGGGCAACCTACTCGTGATTACCACAAGTGTACTAAATTGGAATAGTCAAGTGAGTCCGATCACTGACGAAAAACTATGAGATCAATATCAATATGTGTTGCGATACCACCTCTCCATTCGACACAAGTGACAAACATTATTACTGAAGCTAACTCAAGTAGCTCTTATACCAACAGAGACTGTTCAATTCACTCTAGTATAATAATCAACCAGAAATTACAGGTATAAGTGAATAAAAAGTTATATTTCTATAACCCACTAGCTAAGTGAATAACACTCCTGCGTTTAAAGCGATAGGTGCCAGATTAGAGTTCAGGCGAGAACTCAGTGAGATTTAGATGCATAAAACTGACGAGTCCTAAATATGGCGAAACTCATGTTTTGAATTTCAATACTGGCCACCATCAAGGAATTGATATCAGAATGGAACTAAGTTAATATCTGAACAGTCGTACAATGAACCTATATGTCAAGAAAATCGAATACTTCGGTGCAGTATGATGACCAATATGGAATCATAACTATCAAAGAATTGATTCTACTCCGTCACCAGTAAGTGTGTATAATATGGGTAAGATAGTTTAATTCCCTTCATAACACAGTGTTCAATCAATAAAGTAAGAAGTTCTGAGGGAAAGAGTTGGTATCACCTTCATGGAAGGCAGTAAATAAAACAAGTATAATAATGGGGAGATTATTTCTTTCCTGAAGCCGTCTACCGAACACTGACTCGATATTATAAAACAACCTGTCGCAAGTAATTTTCAAATGTGCTGTTGCAAACCTACAGAATGGAGTGAAAAATCATGACCACTTAATAGTCATCCAGATGCTTACTATCTAAAATCTCACTTCAGAGAACACTTCTGTCAGAATAAAATCTGTAAAATATAGAGTTCGTGCTGAAACCAGACCACTCAGTTAAATTAGCCACATTTTAGGTGGTTTAAACAACTTCAATGTTTCATTTGAATCAATTCAAATGCATTGATGGTGAGCTCGTCCCCCAAAAGAGAATGAAATAACCGTTGGGTTTTTAGTTAAACTTGGTCCATGAGAAAGACTAATCTACAACTATGCATGTCGGTCAGGAGTTAATTTCTCACAATCATTTGATGCAGCTATTTCTTGATTATTTAATTTGAATTCAGTCATAATATCTGGAAATGATCTTCATACGCTTGCTGACATAAAAATCTTAACATCGTTCTAGACCCAGATCTACAAAATATATCCAGGTTAATAGATTTCATCAGACTCAGTGCAATCCGTAATGGGTAACAAAATCATCAATAAAAGTAAACACCTCCACAGCATACAACTCAGAGTTCTGATAAAAAAGACCCCTAAAGTCAACCTTATTTTCGTGGATTAAAGCATTTGGAATTGTGGATAGGCGAAATGTAGACTGTTGGATGATATATGATCTTCCTTTTTTCGAAAACTATTTGAAAATTATGTTGAATATATTTCATATACATATTCCCCTTAATGATCATTCGAACAGAAAGGACAAAATATTGAACAGAATACGATTCTTATCAGCTCCCGATAAGACAGATAGGAACATTTGAGATAAGATACGAATCGAAAGTTAACAGCAATGAGTACATTCATCAGAAGCCAGTCTATAGTTACTTTTAACACAAGAGCATAATAAGACTAGACATTAATCAGATGAAAGTGAAAACGATTAAGCATTTTAACATTGTGAGTTTATATGCTTTATCCTAGTTTGAGATTTTATACTAGTAAGTACCGACAACCTCACAAAGGATCCAGTCTTCGACCACCAGATCTCACGACAACACCTTACCATTCAGCTTACTGATCGGAATTCAGTGGTTAAATAATGAATTACTTTGAGCGATACTTAGCAAACTTGTAATGAGAACTTGTAATCTATGAGGTCAGAGAAGTTAGGAATTAGGCAGATATTCGTCGATAATATTTGATGATGCTGGTGCTGCATCGTGAATTTACAGAATTCCGAACTAGTGGTCAATCATATGTCATAATTTGGAACAGTCTTGCTAGAAGAAATGGAAAGAGATAGTGACAATAGAATAAGTAGAAGTTAGATAAGAGACTGCTTAAGTAAACTCAGTGATAAGTTAGTTATAGTAATTCAGGTAGAAATTATAGTTAGTTGAGCTTAGTGAAATAAAATTAAAGCTAAAATTGAATTAAAAACTTATTTTGAAATGAGACTTCTGGAAGTTCTGATACGAACTAGTGACCGGTGGGGTAAACCAAGTCAGAGGTAAGGACAAGTACTCAACCATAACACTGGATAAAGGTTGTACTATATCACGAAATGGTAGAAGTGGCTAAATGTACTTCACTGGGTTCCAACCCATTGGGTCAATGGCACCATCTTCCCCAAAAAACATAACGGTCCTGAATTCGATCCCTGACAGGGTCTCGAGTACGCATTACTGAAGAGTCTGACACTAAGACGAAACAGCTGTCCAGTGCTTCTAGAATTCTAATGGTTCTCCAAATGATGTCAGTTGGCGATGAATACTGAAGTGAAATCAATAAAATCCCGACAAACCTCCAAATGCAAAATTTACTGCTAAGAATGAAGATAATAGGGGATGGTGTAATCGAACATGATTCGAGCTTATATATGAATTATCAGGGAAGTCACAGGTTAACTACTATTTTTTTACTGAATACACAGTTTTGATTTCAGCCTTTTGATTACATTGACTTCAGCAAAAGAGAGAATATTTGGGTTGTTTTGTTTGTTAATTATTTCAGAAGACTCTAAGGTATCCATCTGGTGTCCTGTATCCATTGTGTATCAGACAATCTAACTGGTGACAGTGATGGATCTTATTAATTGTAGGCTTACTGGAGCCTCTTCTGTCTATTCTTTCAATGAACTTTCTTTGGCAGATAAATATGAATTTGTACAAGCAATTGAAGTTATGAAAAGTATACTTGTAGAGTTTCGACTACCTTAGTAAAAAGCTTTTCTAATAAACGTTCTGATCAGGCAATTTTTAAGTCCTCTGTTCAACATTTTGCAATATGATCAACTTTAAAAATCATACCTAGTAAAAAAAAAAGGCATTCTGCTAACTGTAACTTTCTCCAATTTTTTTGTATTCACTTCTACTATAGATGTTGAGAAATTTTTGTGAATACCCATTCTCCTCCAAACGTTTCCTGATTATCAGTAGTTCATTTTTCAAAGTATCAGTTGAATATATTCACCTCGCTTTACAGAACATCAGTCTACCAAGTGGGTCATATATAGGCTATCTCATAAAAAGTTAATGAAATTTAGTTGTTGACAATTCCATACGTTTCTTCTGTAGGTAAACCTTTTGGGGAATATTATCTGCTCTACGTTGAATCCTGACATCTAGAAAGTTGAATTTACTATTACGGTTATGTTCCATTGTGAATTCAATGTTCTTCTGTGTATTACTGAAATATTTAAGCGAATGACATGCGTTCATCTCATATTAAATGTTTTAAAGGCTGTGAGCAACTGATGAGAACCTGACGAAATGAAACTATATCATGGTTATTTTCCTAAATTTATTATTCTTACTAAATCACCTCAAATTTGTTTCACTTAAAGTCATACTATCAGTCAAGTGTACAGAGAATAATTTGAACTCTGAAGTATGCAGAAAGGAGTAAATTTAAGAGTTGTTTTAAAGGCCTGTCTAGCAACTGTTGAGATGACCAATCAGGTTCCTTTATTTCATGAAAAATTACCTTGTCAGCAGTAATACTGAAACCTGATTGGTTATCTCAGCAGTTGTTAGGGTAGCCCTTAAAGTCACTCAAGCGGATGATAGATTCTAATCTTCTGCTTCTTATCTTGAAAAAAAAACTGATTAGTTCATTTGTAAATGATTTAAGGTTATTTATAATCACATTATCATGAAATGCTTGTTGCCTTTTCAGTTTTAATGCTTTGTCGATGATATTTGCGTTTACTGAAGCAGTAATACATGCTTTACATTTATTTGGATTGAAAATCAGAAATAACTATTTTTTTAGTTTAATACCTCTTCATGCACAGTTGACAAACGCGTTTCGGTTTGTTTTCATGTTAATGGTATGTCTTTCTCTTCTACTCCTACTTGGTTGTTTTGATCACAGCATATAGAACAGTGACCACGACAGTTGGTGTCGCTTACTTTCAAGTTGCTATCACCACTATTATTATTTACAGTTCAGAGTTTTTTATAAGTAGCTGGATTATAACTGAAGGCTTAAATTCTGAAAAACAAACGTGATATGTTTTCATTTAAGTGCACACAAGCTTCCTATTCCTTCAAGGTCACTTTTTCAGCAAATATGGAAATGAAATACAGTAAAAATCAGTCAACTGTGTTTTTGTGTGTATGATTTTTATATAATCGCTAAACGATAGTCAAAGTATTAGTCAAACTGATCTACAAGTACATGAAAATTGAATACACAATAATTATTTGTTCAACTCATTCAATGTCCAACGTTTTTTATAAACTTACCAAAAGAATAGACCAATTTTGTTCTGTCCTTCATAGACTAAAATGCCAGTCGGTGTAAGTCCCAGTGAATATAACTGATTGTCTTTACCCTGTATGTCGTATGCGTAGAATAAAACAACATTTATGTATAAAGTAAGCGTATTTAGTGGATACAGTATAGTGACTAAAACGATGTTAGGCAACAAGAATGATTTCTAGTTCAAAAAGCAGTCGCTGTGGTTCTCTGCTTATAAGGGCAGTTTCAAACGAATGGAACTGCTATTTGACTGGTAAGTGTTGCTCATTTGCTTAAGTGCTGATGACCGAATCTTTGTTCATCGAATCAACACTAAACACATGCAACTGGAATAACTTAGCATCTGTTCCGGATATACGAAAAATTCTAATATTTATATCCATAAGGAGGCGAAAATTTAGAGCTTTATAAACCATGTCTCAAAGTTGTAAAATTATCTTGATATGTCCGAAACGTGATCCAATAAATAATACTGTTCCACTGTGTGATACATCGAAAAAATCAACTAAAATAAAATTGTGATTTGACTATCTAAGATAGCCGTAGTTTGGCAGACTAGTATTTGTACTGGATGATGATTGAAGGTGAGATGAAAATCTGGACCGCGGCCGGATTCGAACCCGGTGGTCTTTGGTTCGAATGCAGCCGCGGTTCAGATTTTTATCTCACTTTCAATCATCACCTAGTATAAAATAAAATTGTAATTTGAGGCAAGCTTGAAATTCATATCTGTATATTCTCATAAATATGATATTTGACAAATTATATCCTGTAAGGAAGTTCGAAATGTAGCGAATACTACCACTAGAAATACCAATAACGGAAATAATCATAATTATAATAAAAGCTGAAAAGTGAGACCGTTAATAGAGTTTATATGATTCAGAAAGTGGTGCAAACCTTATGACAAAGGTAAAAAAATGTAACAGGATCACACAAGTTGTACAGTGGAATAAATCAGGCACTTAGAAACTACTGAAGGAAATCTGTAGATTTAGCTAGTCAGATGAGAGTGATCTAAGCGCCGGATGAATGTTTCGCTGGTTTGAGGTCAAGCTCATCAGTCGTGTACCCGTAAGAATTCAGCTTAGAGATATGATTAAAAAAAAGTAGCTGTACATACTTCTTTTATGTACAAAACTCACTTTTTACATTATGAATACCTGAAGCCTCCACTGTTTTAAACAGTTGATGGCTAAATAATAATGTGGACGACTTAGAAAACTTCGATAACCAACTTGATAATCAATGTTTGAACTTGTTGAGTGATAGAAAATGATCAAGTTTTTTAGAAAAGAACTTCTAACAGCCTTTTTTTTGAATAATGTAATTAGAAGATGAAGTTTACCTAAACAATATGATGGATTTACGCAACATATTTCGAACAATTTGATCATGTGTTTATTTGTCAAGTTAATTTACATAAAACTAAAGAATGTAGAGAACAAATTGTACAATTCTGATAGCATGCAATCAGAAAGCAAAAGAGTGAAATATTTAATCTTACTGTCATAAATAAAACAAAGTTTACCAAAGTAGATTTAGTGTAAGGACGAACTGTTTTTGTTCACAGGAATGGTGGTTTCAATTTGCTTGTGGCTAACGTGAATTGATTAAGGTTGTTTTAATACCGTAATTAAGATCAACTATACCACTTTTAATCCCCTGTTGTCATATTTATCCTATTTTACCTGTCATCCTTCGGTCTTATATAGGTTGACATGACAAGTAAATATATGATCAGACTGTTCAAAATGTATTGCACAAATACATCACAATATTTAAATAAATTTCGTATTTTAACTATGCAATCCAAATTCATAAGAATGACGAATTGATTTAAAGGTTTTCTTTCAAGTTGTTATTCATCATAGTTTGACATCAGTTGGAGGAACAAAGGAAACCTGGGAGCACTGGACAGCTGTTTTGTCCTAGTATGGGACTCAGCAGTGCGCACCCACGACCCCACCAGCAGAGATCGAACCCGCGACCTTCAGGTTTCCTTTGTTCCTCCAACTGATGTCAGTCTACGATGAATAACAACTTGAAATAATTCCGAATCTCCACAACTCCCTCAAAATTTAAAGTTTTTCTTTTACTTTTGTACAGTGAAGGTGAAATGTACACTTTTTTACATGCATAAAGGATTCACTAGCTATCGTCAGTGTAACCTGATCTACAACAGCATTTAAATTGATAGAGGTGCATAGAAGCAACGAGATGAGATAACTTATCTTTCACTCAGATGTAGGACAGTATATAACTAGTAAACGTCAAATGAAGTCTTGCCACGAAGGTTTTATTGACAGATTCAGAAGGATGACTCTTAATTACGTCTGATATTTGGTCACCTCTAAATTCTAAACTCATGCATAAAATTATCTAACGAATTACACAGTAATCAATTCACTACGCTCATCGCCATCCACAAGATAAATAGACTGAAACGAATAAGCGATAAGATGATACATACACTGAACGAAGTGTATGGTATATTTTTAAACACAAGATATCCGTCGCATCTCCAAAATGTTCTTCGTGAAATTTAGAAGGCAACTATGAAAATTCAATCTTGAAATGCAGTATAGAGTTTAATTCACCTCTTTCCACAGACCTCTTCATTAAAACAAGAGATCGCAATTACATTATGAAACAATATTCTGATGTCAGATATTGGAAATCAATTGACCAAATCTCTACTTGACCTTGGTTTAGTGCTTGTTAGCACTGATTAGTGACACGAATCTGCAATCACTGATTCAAACCTGAATCACTCAAATATCGAGGTCAGAAACCTTACCGCTAAGCTATTCACGCCACAATTTACTCCCCGTAAGACTGGATTATTGACATTTATGGTCATCAATAGGTAACCGATGTAGCTTCACAGACCAGTCTTCAGAGCTCATCAAACTCTGTCTATCAGATATGCAATATCACCACCAATCTAGGTGATACGATACTTCCAAGCACTGTATTTCAATGTTTAATGAAAGGGTATCTATCACGAAAACTAATTATCCCGTTATTAATTGTACTACAAGATTTCTCATTCACTAAACAGAAACGAATAATATTCGAAACGGAGCATACTAGAACATGAAATCTATACTTGTCAGACAAACTAAATGACAGTTTAATTTCACTGAAGAAGTGCTTTTATCCCAACGATTAAAAATAAAATGTTTCCACTGAGTAAGGACTTCAGGAAGATGACTAGTCGAGAGGTTGTTTTTCAACTTCTCTTCAGTGAAGTCAATAAAGAAATTATCGCTCTGTCATAATGTATTCACTATTATTTAGTAACCTTCAAACATATTCTCAAACCAAGTTATCTAATCAAATGGAAGAGTTGTATCGACCTGTTTTACTCAGTTGTCAGACCTGTTTCTATTTATACCATTATCATCTTATTCCAAATCAAAAAAAGAATCCTATAAAATTAAAGATGACATCTGAACGATTGTTGATTGTAGTGCATAATTAACTTGCTTAGTTGACTTGGTTTGGCACGTGAAGTCTGCTTCACTTTGAAAAATAGATTAAAACTTTGATTTATATTTGACCTTTACAGTGAGAAAGAGACTGTGACTAGTCTAATTTCACCCAATTTATTATAGTTTGAACTAGTTTATATCACACATTCCTTACATGCTTTCTGAATTATCAACACATTGTTTCTCTTTAGTAGTAGCTCATATAATTAATCGTTTATTTCTCGCTTTTCTATAAGTTATTGTTATGAAATGATGGTCCTTTTTGCTATTAGTACTGCCACTACAAATATGACTACTACTATTTACTACATGGTCGTATTTTTATCCTTCATTTCTCCTTGAAATTCTAAACACTTCTACCTCTTGGTCGCTCAGATTTACCCACTGCAAATTGCACCATATCCCAATGGTGGGCCTCCAATTCTATCCAGTCAATGACAGGAAATTACAAGTAATAACATAAGAATTATATCTGTCGCATAAGGAATTGGTACCCTGACTCAGTGGCTTAATGGATAACACTTAGGTGTTTGGAAAGACTAGGCCTAGGGTTCAAGTCTTTGTGGGAAAAATATCACCCACTGGGAGGCAGGTACATCCAGTTGACGAGTCCCAAATAGGATGAAACGTGCGTTTTGAATTCCACTCCTAACCACTAACTATCATCAAATATGGTACGGTTTAACATAAAATTCATTGAACGATGAATACAAACATACACACACACACACACAAATTTCGAACAAACTAACCTTTACAGAGTGCATTTCAACTCCATAATCTGGTAGTAGGCTCACTTTCTCCAAGTAAATTGATTCTGCAGCGGCTGGTGTTAAATTACGACCACTAAAATTAAAATAAAAAAAATTATTTATGAAGAACAACAATAAAAAACAGCGTTTTATAAAAACGATCACAATTTAATTGAATCATTTTATCTTGAACACACACATGTATACCCTAACAAACTAAGGAATGAAAATAATCCCAAATGACATAAATATCCCGAGATAATCTTTTCTGATTATGATGAAATCGTTGTTAAAATGATCATTATCAGAGAATTCGAATCTTTTTATCATATGGTTTATGTCATAGTGAAGGAATGTCATCTTTTTGTTTTAATCTGAGTTAGTAATTTTTGCGCCCATTTCAAGGATAGAAGAGGAAATGTTTTTATCCACTGTGTCGCAGTATAGCTTTATCATATACGATAGCTTAAAGTACGCTTCTATGAATATTAGCTTTGATTTGTCAGTGATCTTCATGTGGAATTATCAAATGACTGATTCGTAGTAATATGATCTCGTTGATTTATACTCTATGGATAAGGAACGATAATCTACGACAGCAAATTTTCTTGAATTAAGCATAATGAACTGATAACAGAAAGAAAGCACTGAGCAGGCTATTCATTCTACTCTACGACTGCTTAGAAATGCTCTCTCACTACCCTGTGTGAGATCGAACTGGAGATCAAAGGGTCTGGTGGTAAACTCATTGTCATTCAATCTCAGGATGAAGTGAAATAGCCTCAGCTGTCTAAATTTTATCAACTCAAGATTTAGTGTAGTCATTATACAGTGTAACAGACTGATATTTGTCACTATACACGAACTTACTGATCTCACACACGAAAATTACTCGTTCGACAAAACTTTTATAAATTATTCTTAAAGTACATTACTACTGAGCACTGGATTCTTTTTCACTTGGTAGGTTTGCAAGGGAATGTATTGATTTCAGAACATACATCATGGATCGAGATCAACTGAAAGAAAGAAGCCGAAGAGCAATCGAGAAAAAGGATATACAGAGCAATAAACTATATCTTCGTTTCACCAAGTCAGTGATTTACTTTCTGGTCGGTATGTCAGAGTGCATATTACGACCTATAAATGATCCGAATCGAAGAGTTACTCAAACAGATGGGATTCTATGATTCAGTAATCTTATTTCCCTTGAATATTAGATCGAGGTAGTAACATACTATACTATATCCTGTTGTGTGCCACTCCTCTAGTCATAAGCGTGCCGTGGTCAGTGTTTAACTCATCAGAAATGTATCTAATATGTAGCAAAATCAGTTTATAATAAATTAAACGATGGCCTCATTAAAACAAAGCCCAGATTTACGGTAAAAAAGTTATCAATAAAAGACGTGGTACTACAATAGAATAAACCACATTGCTTATACCTCAAATCACTACACCAAAACACAAAAGAACAGGACTGAAATTTATGTGGACAAAGAAATTTGACATCAGAAGTAAAATGAATATACGACATAAACGCACATACGCTGTTATGATCAACTATGAGGTGGTTGATTTCCATAACCAGTAGTGTGGCAAAGTGTACGTCACCTAATTCGTGTTCTACACATTCTAGGAAGGAATTATTTGAAAGGAATCTTAAAATCAATGAATAACTAAGCTGTATGTTTAATTGCTTTAAAAGTGATTTAAATTAACTTACAATTACTCAAAGACTTTCGAAAACTATGCATAATATTACAAGAGAAGTTGTGCTTAGAAATGCACAAATTTATCTAAGACGCTTCATATGAACCGAGATTAAGGCGACCTGACAACCCGCTCTCATAAACGTATGATAACTCAAAATGACTAGCCTTATTAAGTGGATGATAAAATTTTAAGTTTTGATGTTTAGATAAATTGGTCAGGTTGTTAACTTGAACTGACTTTCTGTGACAATAAGTGTTACAACTTCCAACCTTTTACTCAACTTGATGTAGGATATTGAATAGAATATAGCGGGACCACTATGGTATGAGACAGCTTCATTTGACATAGTCACGAATCTCTGACTTCAGACTATAAAATGAACCCCTAAGTTAATTATTGTATCTTCCAAATATTGACAGCTGGAATCATTCTTTGATATGAGTTAAAATCAGGCTTAGGATAAAAATGCGGGTCAAGTTTACACTGCAATTTGAATCATGAGACCTTGTTTGACTTCTTTTCCTACTGGCCTTCATCTAGATTCAGTTCCCAATGTTAGTTGCATGGAGGCAATCAGCAGGAAGACCTGAACTTAGGTTTCGTGTTTGTTGGCACTTGTCAGCAAGACGTGTCTGCAACCCTGATGGAACTAATGTTCCACCTGATATTCGAACCAGCGTCACCCAGTGTTTTAGTCATCGATCGTCACTGGACGGTAACCACCTTTATGTAGTCTAGTCAGTCCTAAGTGCTGACTGAATTCTGTCGATCACTTTGCAGTGTGTCCACCAGACTAGGCAGTTCAGCATCGAGATGAAGCTGATTACCCTCCATTGACCAATCAGTGTATTAGTTTTCCATTTCTTTCCAATTTATTCAGGAATATTAACCCTATAGTTGAAATATTTTGATTGAATTCCTTAAAAGTGTTAAAAATCGAATAAACTGTTGCTTTCCAAGGTGTTTTCAGTAAGCATCGATTTGAAATAGATCAACATGAGAGATTAGGGAGCAGTGAAAGGTATTACGGGTTGTACATTTTCTCTATTGTGCAAACCAATGCCCCTATGTGACATGTAACATTGCTCTAGCCTTCTACGTTTATTATGTTAATCACTCAGTTTCCACCAATCAGAACGAAAATTAAATCAGTTTGCTAACTATAGCACCTAATGATATTTGTGTAGGTGGTATACAGACAAAAATTCAAGGGATATTGAACAATAACTTCAGTAATCATGACTACCAATAGATTGACCTCAAAAAGGTCAGAAGACACGTTTAAGCAATTATGTGTAGACCTGAAAAGTGCATATTGTTTTGAATAACAGAAATTAAAATGTACCGCCTAATAAGTCATGAATCATTTTAACAGCTCTGGCACTCAAAAATCAATGATCCATAAAAGGTTGATACTATCATGTGAATGCGAAAAGAAACGGAGAGAAATTTTCAGATTCATTGAGAAGATGTACTTACCAAGGTGGATAGCTCACTGGCTACATTGTTAAAGCTAAATCAGCAACACCAGAACACCTTAACCAATCAAATTAAAACGTTGAATTTGGTCTTTATCCCTCAACACAGAAAATAGGTAAGAATCTTTTCTTAACTAGCACTGATGGTGAGAATTCAATATTGTTAGAGATTTGAATTGGGTTAATTTGGAAGTGGAATAAATTCCTTGATGAAGTAGATATGCCTTAATGAAGAGCATTTACAAGTATAAGTATTTACAACTTTTCATAGGACGCTTCCAACTGTTGCAGATCACCATTCCATCCAGTGTAGCTACCCATACACATCAGCGTGTACACATGAAATGATAGAGTAGTTCTACGCTGTAAAAAAACATGTGTATGTAACCCTGTAGCCTAGTGGATAATGCTATGGTATATGACGAGAAGGATGGTGGATTCCTGTCTCTTTCATAACAAAAACACACTCGGAGGTAAACATACTCGGCTGATGAGTCCAAAATAGGACGAAATACATATCTTACTAGCCACTATTCATCCTTAATAACTAACTTTAGTTTCCAACACCAAAAATGATATAACTTTCAACAATTAACTGAGTATACGAGCAGACACTAATCATTTTTAAGCATATCACAAATACCTTTCAAATATACACCTGCTCAAATAAATCGAATCTGTTAGATGAATACTGAGAAGGTTATGGATGAAGATATTTCTACACTGGAAAACAGTAATAGCACTTATTGTTTATTCAAATGAAATGTCAATAAATAAAGATAGGAATTGGAGAAAATATTTATTTTCTTAGAAACTGCATCACACGCAATCTTTAAAAGAAAACAGTACTTTTACAATTAAAGTATATACACATTTAGCGGTTTCATGAGTTTAAAAAATGAAAGTTAAGTGAACATTTGAAACATTAGTTATCCTCTATTGACTGGTCGATGTATTTTATTCAGTTCAACAGGAGGATGTTTAAATCTCTCTCTGAAAGACTGACAATTCTTTCTGAGGTAGACATATACCTTGATGACAAATGCCAACTAAGAATAACCCACAGGTCAAGTAGATTTTCATGTTGATTGGCTTTAATCATCTAATAAGTGGCAATATTTTATCCAATAGAATCTTACAGATTCATATTAGAGACAAAAGTAGTGTAGAAATCTCTAATGGCTTGAAATAGTCATCTGTTACCTTATGTTTATGATATGACTATCCTAGATAAGTAAAAAACGGCCGTCTATTTAAAATTTTAGTCTACTAAAACGTTTCCATGATATATATTACATCAAATTACTCCTTGTGAATACTCATTCAATCTATCGTCACGTAAGTTGACAATAAGACAAATATGACGGTAGATAGAAGTACAACAGTTCATCATATAGCTGTTACAGGAATAATGAGCAAGAAATGTAATTTTTTTTATACTGACTGAATGCCTTATCACCATCAAACCTTCAAGTGTTTTTTCTATTCTTCTCTTAGTGCAATAAAGTACATACAAACTAAACGATAACCTAAAAACAATTGGTAGTTATGCATTATTGTTTATCAGACTGGTTATTCAACTTGAAAATACTATACAAGGAGTAAATTTATTGAGATATCATACTGAGAACTTGCCACTCAGTGATAACATCTTTGATTGAACTGTTGGGTAACACGGATGTAAATCTCAGGCAGCATCGCCTCCATCCAAATATCATTTATATTGTATTGAAAATTACTTTCTGGAATAAAGCGACTGTCTTTATTGTTGTTGTTATTGTAGACTTAAACAGTATTACAATGTTTGAGGTAGAAAATATTCTAAATGTTTCTCATATCCTTGGTTTACCTGGTTACTGAACATCAAGCGTCAAAGACACTTTTTCTAGCTTACCTGTAGTAAATAGTAATAGACGTTTAAATGTCAAAATCCTAGGGTGAAACATTCAATTTATCTTTCTAGCCATTTTCTTGTTGTTAATTTAGGTTCATAGTATAGATCAGAAAAGATAATCTACATGAAATAGGCTAATTAGTCTAAATAAGAACATATGAATGTTTTGCAATGAATATTTCTAAAAATGAGTAGGTCTACGCCACTTACACTGATCGACAGTGCTGGCACTAGTAAGACAATGATTTCACTCGTTTCGAACTTAATTCACGAATGATGTACTTGGATCAAGTCAATTCAGAGAGTCCAACTGTTCAAAACATCCAAATTCTAGATATCTACTAGAGTAGAATAGTCATACTTTGAATTAAACTACGAGTCCACAATTACTAATTTACTGTGTACAGCTTTTATGGTCACAATTTTGATGCCATTCATAGTGTCATGCAATTAACGTAATATTGTCTGTATATTTTAGCTACCTTTGGAAACTACAGTGACATTTCCCATAGTATTCTTGTTCTTAGAAAATGATTTGATAACCATCACAAAGGATGTCAACATTGTGTAAAGAGTTAATGACAGAAACTGCTCCAACGCTTTTGAACAGGAACAAGAGAAATTAGATAATCACAGGAACACAACTTTACATAAAAAAACGCGAAGAAATATTAGACTAGACTATGAGGACTGGCTTTAATTGGTAGATTAATTTTCATATTTAGATAAAATAACTCGGTTCAATGGGAAGATGTGAGTGCTGAATGGATTTAAATTTCTCACCTTCAGGGTACTGACTGTTTTCTATCAACTAAGCTTCTAGACACAAATGCTAACCAGGTTTAATTGTCACTTTAGTCAAAGCATGCTTCATCCAACTACCACATAAATCAAAGACATATAAGTGAATACAATTCTACACAATCTTCATATTCAGTAGTTTCCAGTCATCAGCAGGGAGTCCTACTTGACCTTGAGTTTTGTATTTGTTAACACTTGTCAGTAAATAGTTTCTTCTACTTTAAATGAACTGACGTCCACTGAAATATTGGTATCAATGTCACCTATTTCTGTAGTCAGAGACGTTGCCTATTAGCAAATAAAATCATTACTAGCGCCATCCAAAACTAGATCATATATGTTGATTAGTAACTGGAAAGTAAACAATTTTCTAATGCTTGTCCCTAAATACTGACCAGATTTTATCGATGATTTTGCTTCTAACTACACAGATTCAATCATAAGTATACATACATGATGAGTTTTCTAGCTTGATGATCACATCACACTTAAGACCAGATCACTCGTTAAAGACCACATTACTGATGGATCTTCCTGAAGTATGCTGAAAAGATAAGATCAGAAACTTTAGGTTGACTGCTTGGTTAGGCGTCCAACAGTAGAATTAGCTGTTACACAACTGTTCTAGAACAGTCAGCATATGTGTTGCACATTTCACCAAAATACAGAAAGATCTTAGTTGGCACTGAGGATTTTCGCCTAGCAATAAAGAAACTTTATGCGAACAGCTTGTATTTCCAACTGAATTTTCATTTTTCAGGGAGAATAGGAGAAATTAGAAGTGCCTGTCATGTCCACAACTATTGTATTACTAAAATCTTATGTAGGTGTAGCACAAAATTTCAACACATCAGGAAGTATTGTAGTTATACCAGCCAAAACATAGTACTAACAGTTCCAACTAAGATAAACCATAGGCTAGCCAAAGTGTTGGTAAAATTTCCCCAAGTGTGTTTCGGCTCATATAAAGCTCGTCAATCGGATATTTATGCATTATGTTCCGACTGATAACGAAACCTAATACTGCCGGTTATTGACAGCATCCATTTTGTATACCAAGGAATAACACAAATTAACGTTATCCAAAGAAGAAAATCTGTGTTATCTATAAAACAAGACAAATGTTTTCTTCAAAAGGAGAAAAGATGAAAACAACATTACTTCATTGAGACAGTAAACTCCGACAATTGACAATGAAGTCGCAAATGAAAGTCTCATCTTTTCACGAGTCATCCCTTGAATTCACATGTATCCTATAAACTTTCAATTTCCTCAGTGATACAGAAACTAAGCACACACACATACCTCAAATAGCAAGAAGTTATTTGCGATATTATTGAATTACAACGGAAAAATTCCTATGAACTAGAAGTGAACTTCCTTCTCTATACCGTTCATATGAAAATAGACTAGAAGATTAGACTATTACTCTTAAAATAACTGTTTCTTTCTTAATATTGCACTCTACTGACCTCAATTTACTCACCTAATCTAAATTCTAAGAATATCTTTTAAAGACCATAAACAGACAGTAGTTATTTTACAAAATAATCATTGTATTCTTAACCAAAGCAGACACATGATATCAACATTTGTCTGTTTCATATCAAATATATGAAACAATGCAAACTCATGTAAATCTGCTACTTTGTTCCAAGTTATGTGTATGTCTATAGTAATAACTTTAGTAAGTGTTTCACACTTGTCAGACGTAAGATGATTCTTCAGAACTGGTCCGCAGCCACTCATAGTTTAAGGATAGGGAGTGAAGTGGTACAACCCACTGCCCACTCCAGTTTTTTGAACAGTTACATCAGCCGGAATCCGTTGGTAGCTGATACAAAATGCCTATTTAACATTCATCTAGAGATAGCATGATACCCGATTACCTGTTAAAGGACTAATACACTGCGCTACAGTTCATTTTGTCCTGGTACATGGTCATTCAAAGCAAATCTAAAAAAGTGACTGCACGTTTCTTCGCTGCAATGCTGTGCATTGTAGAATCACCGTGTGAGCAACGTTGAGGTTGGGATACTGCTCAAAGAAGGCGAGTCGATTGATAAAGTTGTGATTCATGAGAACATACGATATCAGAACACGCAGAAAGACTAAGAGTTGTCAAATCAAGACGTGACATGCATCTATCAAAACTTTCATTGTTAGTCTCAGCTGTGTAGGCAGGTGTAAACCACCTGATTAACTCCTATAGAATAAACAAAACAATTACTTTGGATGGTGTAATATGCCATATAGAACTGGTAAGCTATAAGAAGTGAATATTATAGAAGTAGATTTTACAGCTGATATGATCAAAAGTAAGAGGCAGCGAAGACGGGACTTCAAGGGAATGTAAAGAAGACAGAGGTGATGAAAATACTCAACCAACTAACAACAACAAGCTCCAATCACCACTAACGGGAGAAATCTAAAAGGAAGTAGCCTCTTTCAACTATCTAAGCAGCATAGTTTCAACTACAGCCGGCACAGACGAGGACGTCAAAGCCAGGATTAGAAAGACAGTAAGACAATCCTTCCTTCATTAACCTTAAACCATTGTAGAGATCTACTGCACTCCACTCAGCATAGAGCGTGAACAAGATCAGCATTTTCAACAACAACTCCAGTCAAGTCAGTGCTTCTATATGGTTCAGAGACTTGGCGCGTCGCGAAAGCACTTCCAATAAACTATGGACATTCATCAACAGCTGTCGCCTACACTCACTTGATACAGAATATCAGACGGCCACAATAATAAGAATAAGCCACAAGGAACTCCGGCTGACTGACTGACTGACTGACTGACTGACTGACTGACTGACTGACTGACTGACTGACTGACTGACTGACTGACTGACTGACTGACTGACTGACTGACTGACTGGCAACGAACCAACCAAGAACCTATCGCCTAACAAATATGCAAAAGGAAGTGGAGATGGATTGGGCATTCACTGAGTAGACCGATTGGGGACATCATGCTCCAGGCCAGGCCGTCGATTGGAACCCAGATGGGAAACGATGAGTTGGTAGTCCGAGGGTGACATGGAGGAGATCGTGTGTGGAAGAAATGAGAGCTTGTGGGCTTTCGTTGAGCCAGATTCAAAAGATTGCAAAGAACAGAGTGCACTGGGGACTTGCTCCTGAAGCCCTATGTTACACTAAGAACCCAAGGGATAAATAAATAATAATAATGATAAAAAGTATTCATTTCGAACAATGGACTGATTATTTCTCGTAGAATTCATACGTCTTGCATAAAGATATGATTAACTACCAAAATCCCTTAGTTTTAATCAAAATTATAAGATGTTTGCTTATACCCGCGACTGGGCAGTAACTAATATCATATTGACGAAGCCCCCTAAATGCGTACCAAGCATGTATTTTATCAACTATGCTGTCAGTTAGTCATCATCGGCACGGAGTCTGGCAATACTGCATAACCGTCAAAGTTGCCAAACCTAATAGTAGCACATCAAATACTGGGTAGCACAAAGATAGAGAAATCGAGTAGAATATTAATTCAAAGTCATCAGAAAAGATGGAGAGAGGATGAAACAATAAAGAAATGCGTTAAGATGAGTAGGATAGAGATAATACTCAATGCATGTGCACCAGTGTTATCGATTTTCTAGCTTAACACCTAGAGTCTTGAGTCACTAATTTCAGTTGTCATACAGAGTTCAATCACAAAGTCTACACTTTCTTACATATCTCAAACCGATAGTCAGAGGCTTCATGGATGGATGACACATTTGAAGCCGATTATCTTTTGAATTGTTCGAAAGTCTTAATTCAAAGTAATTAGCTATATGCCACACTCATTGTATACAGTTCAATAGTAAATCCAAACTAAAGATACTCTGTAACAAGAATCGTGGCTCAAAATAACAACCTTGCAGCTGAAGGTCACAGTTTTAAAACAGTTAATCTAATAAATAAGTAAAATTGCCATTCGTAATACAAATTATATTTAGAACAAAGTTAAAAGAATTATGAATAAGTATTACCTGAAAAACGATAAGTACTTACGCTAAAGCTTTATACTTATCCAACACGGTTAGTTCGAATTCTTCTGTTTGTTTTACTTCTGGCAAAAATCGAAAAGTCGAAACGAATACTGGTGTGTGCTGTTTTTTGTCGAAATCCCCGAATTCAGCTACGATTGGCAAAAGAAAAAAAGACAAGTGTCCATTTTAAACAAGAGACAATTATAGGTATGCATCTGGCCAATGGTCAGAATCTTGCAGCAGCCCAGGTTTTTATTTCACCTGCTCAATCCAAGACTGAACGGCAGCCCACCTAATCTTAACCCTTCATCAGTTTACGTATTCCTGTGGAATTAATTACATAGAACCTATGATTAGGCAGGTGAGTATCCGGATAAGAGAGCTTTACCTAAGAGTTTGCAAGAATAGGTGTGGAATCATGCTATACTCTTGTCCACTCCAAACAAAATATTAAGCCGCATCATACTACAGAGACTAAAATTCCTCTACATTCAAAATTACAATCACAAAAGGCTGTCTGGTTGGTTTCAGGAAAAACAAATCATGTGAGCATCAAATTGAAACCCTACGCTACGCATCATCATAGAACAGAGTATAGAATGACAGTCAACTGGATCTTTACCTCAACTTCATCGATCTTGAAAAGGCCTTCGATAGCGTCGACTGACAAGTAATTTGCCAGGCAGCTGCTTCAACACTACACCTTCAGTGTATGCTATGCTATATAATGCTACATGCCTAGTAATTCACAATGGAAACCTCAGTGATACCTTTGATATGATGAAGACAGGAGATAGCAGTAAGACAGGATTGCCACCTACTATCACCGATCATCTTCCTGACTGTGGTCAACTCGACTAGACTGGATCATGCAACAGACAACTGTGAGGAGCTCTGAAAAATGGGCATACGTTGACTGCATCGATGAAAAGACCCTACACGATTTGGATTTCGCCAACGACGATGAATTATGTCCAATATCTATCTCATCACACAAACTCGAAGATCTACAGGCCAAGAAGACAAGCAAGTTGACAGAAGAGGTAGGTCAGCGAAGACGGGACTTCAAGTGGATGTAGATAAGACAGAGGTGATGAGGATGCTCGACCAACTAACAACAATAACAACAGGTATCAATCACCATCAACAGGAGAAATCTGAAGGAAGTTGTCTTTTCCACCCATTTAGGCAGCATCGTTTCGACAACAAGTGGAACAGATAAGGACGTTAAAGCCAGAATCGTGAAAGCAAGTCAGGCTTTCAATAACTTGAAATCAGCTGCCTACGCTCAATACTGAAGATCAGATGGCCAGAAAGAATAAGCAAGAAGGAACTCTGGCTGGCGTCTAACCAACCAAGAACCTATTGCCCAACAAATATGCAGACGAAAGTGGAGATGGATTGGATTGGACGAATACTGAGAAGACCTCTTAGAGACATCACGTGCCACGTCAGGCCAGGCCCTCGAGTGGAGCCCGAGTGGAAAACGACGAGTTTGGCGTCCAAGTCGAGGATGACATGAAGATGGTTTGAGGAGGAAATGGAGCCAGATTCGAAAGACTACAGAGAACAGAGTGAAAAGGTGACGTGCTACAGAACCCCTATGTTCCACTAGGAACCCAAAGGACAAATAATAATGATAACTTGGTTAAGAAAGAGTGAAGTGAAAGTGGTGAAAAGTTCAGTTCTAGCGCATCTAGTCGACATAGGACATCACAAGGATGCTAATAAAGCTTTTAATATCGTTTATCATGTCCCAAAAACGATACCATATGTAGCTCGCCAACGCCTACTCAATATACCGGAGGGTGTTGTAATAAGACTTATCAAAACTGTACTGAGAAAAGAACATGTCTAAGAGCTGTTTCTCCCTTGGCTTTCAGCAAACTAAAAGTCACTCCTACCATCTTATTTCTTTGTTTTCCTTCACCATAACATCATTTTTCTGTATATGTATCATCCGAATATTGACTAAGATAAATCAGTTTACTTACAATCCGTATATCTCACTCCATTTTGAAAATATCACTGCCCATAACATGGCTTGTTTTTACGCCGTACAATTGCATATTATAATTTTAGAACCTCAAGAGAGTTTATTGAAAAGTATATTCTTGGTTCAGATTGTTGCTTTTTATAAATATGAATAAACAATAAAATGTGGTGTATGAACAGATACCAACCGATAGCAGTGAATGTTCATTTCATCATGTCATCATTGGACAGAAGTTGGAAAGCGTAAGCCATTGGATTGTAACTCAGTACCTGAATGATTAACCACTTGCCGAAAGATTAGTCGGTCCTCAGGTGGGTAATGTATGGCTTCAAGATTACACTGCTGAGAAGTTCAGAACTAGAAAGAAACACACATCCAGTACTCCCAGGTTCACATTAGTTCTCTGACTGATGCCTTAACGTGATGCAATCTCCCCACAAACCTGCAGACTGAAGGACATCACTTGAAAATTTAAATGACCCAACATGATTCCAACTCTGGACCGAGTGAATGCCACCACTGTTACATATCATGTAAACTAAAAGAAAAGCGTCAGTTATTTGACCAAAAAACAATAATTCATAGTATACGGTGACCGGGAAGTAATATAGGAATGAAATCATCGATATTTCACATGGCGGTTGAGAAATTTTATCGACTTGAAATGAGATTTTATTGCAGACTGACATCACCTAGAGCACAGTTGAAAGCTATGAGGGAGAGGAAAACAGTTTCACCCTAATTTTTGACTTGTCAGCAGCTGTTATCACTCGTGACAGCCTGATAGATTAAATGCGGGACTATAATCGGCCTTACTGACCCTATAGGTCACGGCTTTTAATTAGAAATTCGAGTAGGTTATCTCGAAGCAAGTTGCTAGCATGCATCGTACTGTTACTCAATATGCGGGTTTATGCGGAATTAATTGATTTCAAAAAGAATCTCACTATGCATCAACAACAGCCAATGAGTCATTGAAGAAATGACAGCATTGGAACACTACTTAGCCCTAGAATGGGATATCTTAGCAGTGCGCAAGCACAACTCCGTGTAGGATTGAATCCAGGACCATCTTTTTCGGTGGTGAGCATTCTACGAACCACGATGAAGCAGCTGTTCACTGCTCCTATGTTTTTATCGACTCTCTGACTAGTGTCAATACAACACCAAAACCTCTTTGAAAATAGCTCTATTTGAAGTCATATTCTGTGGTTCGAAGGATAATTTGCTTGTTTATGAATTTAAAAGGTGAATATGAAGACTAAGTGAATACCGTTGTGCAATACTTCGAGGTTGTTTAACTGAAGTTGGATCACGACAATGAATTTCTCTCAAGCTTAAATTATATTCCATATAGTTTTTGTTTTGAATAAAAACTCAAATCTAGGTTTTAAATATCCACTTATATGTGTAATATTGTAATTAAAATAGTAATGACACACTGTTAAATACTAGAGTGGCCTTCAACACTGAACAATCAGTGTTTGGTTTAAGTTCATGAAAACTCTGTAAAAACATTATGAATTCAAAAACTGTGGATATATTTTAAATTCTGTAGATTTCATAAAGCTTCCATGTGACTTATTTTACTGTAGAAAGTCAATTATGCAAATAAATTAGTAAAGGATTAGTATTTGTAATCGGTTTTCGTTAATTTGTTAAAATGCATTAAAACGTTTCTTGATTTGTCTAGCGCGAAATTTTAACTTGCATTTATAATTCATACATTAACATAACTTGAAGTGAAAGTGAAAGAAATAAAATACCAGTTAGTTGGTATTCATTTTTGAAAGAGTAAATGGATTGAAAATAATTGAATGACTTCAAAGGCCATCTTAGCAAAAAGACCGAAAAAACCAACTAGATTCCCTCATTTCAACTGGAAAGATAGTTTTTCTGATTGGTTATTTCAGTGATTGGTACAGTGACCTGTAGAATCACTCGTTCAAAATATAGATAGTCGCTTATATAGAGAAATATAAACAATGTTCAAAGTGGGTTGTTCTGTGAGCTAAAGTTTTAATTGGCACAGAACAACCCACTCTGAACATCTACAACCTGAGTAAAACATTATTCGCCACAAATATAACCAAGCTAAAATAGTTATCATCTGACCTTCAGATAGGGAATAGTTTATCATGTATAACATGGAGGTTAGCAGGCAGTTAGTCAACATAAATTTCTATCAACAAAAGTACGGCTAAAGTTTTACTCATAGTTGAGTTGCAAAGTAGGCGGAACAATATGTCTGCTACTAATTTTCAGTACCCAGAGTATTTCTTCCAGTTTACATGTGATAATATTCTGCTAAAATATTCCAAACAGAAAACAATCTGATAAATGTGAGCCTCAATGAACCTACAGTCGATGTGCAGTTCAGGTGATTAACGTCAGTCATGAATTACTATTTGATATATGCTAGCTGGATAGAATTAATCACCAGGAAACCCTGGATCCAGGTTTCGTGCTTGTTGGCATTCGTCCGCTAGGCGCATCTACAACCTCAACTGAACTGATTTCCCGCCTAAGATCCAAACACGTTTCAACCAGTGATGCAGTCAGCGACATTACCACTGAGATATTCGGCCCGAGATTGACCTTCTGTAGGACTCGACTAAGTACACTAATTGGTCACTGGAGAGTAAAAAAACTTCATGCTGTCTAGTCCTATGGTATGATCGAATTTTATTGATCATTTTGCAATGTGGCCACCACTGCTAAGCGACTCAGCATTGTGAACTACTTTGATAGATGTTAGTTGAGTGTAGGCAATCGGTTACCCTCCAGTGACCAATCAATAAATTCCCACTTAGAAATACTGATGAAAGCCTGATAACACTAAACTAGGTATTTTTATTACTCCAATTCCTCAGGGTGTTACCTAGGTATTAAGACAGTGAATCGAGTTAACTGAACATCAGTCGCAGGTACATCGAACTCCAGTTTCAATGCATGTTCTGTTCGTGCGTGACAAACTAAAAGGTAGAAGTGACTGCTCATATTGACCTAACTGAATAACGGATACCAAGTGAATTGATAAAGAAAGGTGAGAAATGACAAGATCAAATAACTTGTAGAATGAATAGTGTTTAATGTCTATTCATACTCGTGGTTTTTTGTCGAACGACCCCCTTCGAGAATATGAGTCCCTGT